TCTTTAGAATATTTGTCCTTATAGCCCCATTATTTCTTATTTACATTTTTCTTCCTTCATGTTCTACTTCTTACTAAGAATAACTCATATTATTATTATTATACATTATTATACACATATTTTCACTTTTGACCTTTCCATATTTATTCTCCTCTATTATTTCTAGTCTCCAAACAGACATACACTGGAAAGGAGTTCTTGTTCCTTTGGTAGCCAGGAACTACAGTGACAGCAGCATGTTTCTGAGGTGGCTGACCAAATGGGTTGAGAGTAGGCGGGCTTTTATACATTCTTTAGGCCAGTGGTGGCGAACCTATGGCACGGGTGCCAGAGGCGGCACTCAGAGCCCTCTCTGTGAGCACGCACAACGTCGCCCCAGTCCTAGGCCTTCAGCTGGGTTTTATAAAACCTTCTCGTTTGAGGCCTCCGCCGCTGTGTGCAAAAATAAAAAAAGTTCAATCAATCAGTCAATTTCAACTTCTCGCGGGAAAAAAAAGATCTTGCAAAGTTGGAAATGATGGATTGAACTTTTTAGCCCCACCCAGTCTGCCGTTACCACCGCTGCCACGCCCAGCCAATGGGCCACGCCCAGCCAATGGGCCACACCCAGTTGATGGGCCACGCCCACCCAGCACCCGACGGTGCATACGTGGGTTTTGGGTTGCAGTTTGGGCACTCGGTCTCTAAAAGGTTCGCCATCACTGCTTCAGGCCTTTGTGATTGAGATGCCTAGGTTGGTTGTGAAATGTACTTTAATCTGTGCGTGAGTGTGTCCTTTTAGTATTCCAGTTATTGTTGTCTGACTCCTTGTGGCTGGGAGGTCATGCCATGTCTTGGACACTGGGTGGGGAATGTAGGTTTTATATGTCCCTGCTTTTTAATTGGAACAGTTCCTGTCTTCCGTGGAAGTTGTCGCTGTAGTTTTGTTTATGAATAGTTTGTCTTGATCAGGGGTAGTCAACCTTGGGTCTTTTATGACTCGTGGACTTCAACTCCCAGAATTCCTGAGCCAGCTAAGCTGGCTCAGGAATTCTGGGAGTTGAAGTCCACGAGTCATAAAAGACCCAAGGTTGACTACCCCTGGTCTTGATGAATGGAAACTATCCATTCAGAGGGGCCGGCCACTTGAATGGTTTTACTTCGGGGGAAACTTGTCTCTTCTGGGGGTGGTGTGCAGGCATTTATTTTCCAATATGGTGGCTTTCTTGTATTAAAAGGGGGGGGGAATTCTCCTTACGTCTTTTTATTGTTGACTTGGTTGTCTCTTAAAAGGCCACAGATGGATCCAGCCCCACGGCCAGCGGCCCTTTTACCCGAATGCCGGCGTTCAAAACAATCTTCCTCCCGCGAAGTCTGACGTCCTCCTAGTTCCTGACTCCGCTCTGGAATACCGAAGCTCTTTTTGTCAAGAAGGTTGTCGAGATGGCTGGATGAGTTATTCGGGCCACTGCTACATGTATGTCCAGGAGCAACGGACGTGGGCAGAAGCTGAGGTATGGACATCTTCCCAGCCATCCTCTTCAAAGGAGATTTTTCTTATCCAAACACCCTGTCTCAGTCATGGGATTCAGCCGGTTGGCACCGGTTCGGTAGAACCGGTAGCTAAGTTTTGTTGACTACGGAGAACCGGCGGAACCCAGGCTGTTTCTGGAAGTCCGTTCTAGGCCTCGGAGGCCTGGAGGTGAAGAAGCATTGACAGAGTTCTCTAGCACTCTGTGACGTTCCAGACATATTGATCCATGGAATGTTTTATTTTCTGTCTCCCTCATATTCTTATTTGCTTGACTTTTTTCCTTCCTCTCTCCCTCCCTCCCTCGCTCCCTCGCTCCCTCCCTCCCTTCTTTCCTTCCTTCCTTCCTTCCTTCCTTCCTTCCTTCCTTCCTTCCTTCCTTCCTTCCTTCCTTCCTTCCTTCTTTCCTTCCTTCCTCCCTCCCTTCTTTCTTTCCTTCCTTTCCTTTCATTTTTCTTTCTTTCCTCCCTTCTTTCCTTCCTTCCTTTCCTCCTTCCTTTTTTCCTTCCCTTTCATTTTCCTTCCTTTCATTTTTCCTTCCTTCTTTCTTTCCTTCCTTCCTCCCTTCTTTCTTTCCTTCCTTTCCTTTCCTTTCCTTTTTCTTTCTTTCCTCCCTTCTTTCCTTCCTTTCCTCATTCCTTCTTTCCTTCCCTTTCATTTTCCTTCCTTCTCTTTCATTTTTCCTTCCTTCCTTCCTTCTTTCCTTTCTCCCTTCTTTCTTTCCTTCCTTTCCTTTCCTTTTTCTTTCTTTCCTCCCTTCTTTCCTTCCTTCCTTTCCTCCTTCCTTCTTTCCTTCCCTTTCATTTTCCTTCCTTCTCTTTCATTTTTTCTTCCTTCCTTCCATCCTTCCTTCCTTCCTTCCTTCCTTCCTTCCTTCCTTCCTTCCTTCCTTCCTTCCTTCCATCTCCTTTTCCCTTTTCCTTCTCTCCCGGATTCCTATCTCTTTCTCTCCTTCCTTTCTTCCTACTCCTTCCCTCTTTCTTTTCTGCCTCCCTTTCTCCCTTCCATTTCTTCCCTCCCTTTCCCTTTCCCCTTCTCTTATTCTTCCCTAGTTCCCTCCCTCTTCCCTCTCTCTTCACTCCATTCCCGCACACACTCCAGTCTGAAGCACGCCTCCGATTCACAGCTGCTCCGTTTACCTTCCTCTCTCCGATCATTACTTCCTAGAGGACTTGCCAAAGCTTCATCCCAAACGGACACCTGACCAGCATCTCGAGTGCCCAACACAACGCCTTCCTGGTGAAGCTGGCCATTTACCAAGCACGAAAACCGGTTCTGTTCTGGATAGGAGGAAGCCACCAAAAGGTACGTCCAGCTTTAAAAACATCTGGCGACTTTGAGCTTCACTCTTTAATAGTAATAATCAATCAATCAATCAATCAAGAAGTTTCGTTTTTTGCTTTAACAGCAGAAACATTGGGCTCAGTTGCAGTTGTAAGTCGGGGACTTGCCTGTATTGGGTCCACTTCTGTCAAAAAATAATAATAATCTCTTTGCTAGTCAGTCTCTATCGTGGCTAGTCCGAATATTCCTTGACCTGATTACATTACAGGTAAGTCAGTAACCCAGATTTTCATTCAGAAGCTTCTCGGATGGGAAGCGGTGAAATGCCTTCAAGGAAAAAGCAGAAAGTCTAGTGGCCTCTCGGAAAAAGCACCTCCAGGACGCCAGATCTCATGAGGTTCTCCTTTTATTTTTCTCCAGGGCAGCTCTCTCCAATGGAGTGACGGCTCCAGGCCGAATTTCCTTCAGCGTCCCCTGAGTTCAATTCTTAATTTGGTGGGCGGAACCATTAAAGAAATCCTGGGCCTGAATGTCCGGATCTGCTTGCAAATCAATTTAGGAGGTATTTCCTACAAATATTGTAGACTCTTTCCATCTTTTCACAAGCTGTAGATCAGAGGTTCTCAACCTTTTTAATGCCGCGACCCCCAACTGGTCGTAAGTCGAGGACTACTCAACCGGTCGTAAGTCGAGGACTACTCAACTGGTGCGGCACCGTTTGCAGAATGGGACTTTTGGCGGGCTCAGCAGGGCAGAGACAGCCTGGACAATTCCTATTGGCTTTTGAAAGCCAATAGAATTAAACTCTATTCAAGAGAGTCTGTTCTATTGGCTTTCAAAAGCCAATAGAATAAAAGGGAGGGGCACAGCTAAGGAAAAGAGGAAAAAAATGGTGGACTGCATTGTTTGGCGACCCCCGTGAAATGGTCGTTCGACCCCAAATGGGGTCCCGACCCACAGGTTGAGAACCACTGCTGTAGATGGTTTAAGTCAGTGGTTCTTAACCTTTTTGAACGAATCGCCCTCCTTGAGCCAATGAGGAAGCTGTCATCGCCCCCCTCCCCCAACACAACTTCTCAATCACCACATAGGAAATAATTCTTCAATTTATGCAAACCCTTTTTTTGTTTTTAAAATTATTTAAAATTTGTGTTTAAAATTGTCATCAGGACATATCGATGCAAATAATTTACTTCCAGTCTTTTTCCCATATCTCCCATATTCTGGCCAATGGCGCGCCACTGTATGGGTAGAGGCTGCTGCGCAACGCGCATGAAGATAAGCGATGCGTATTCACATATGTACGGCGTTCTGTACTGAAGCTAGCTGGAGGAACATTTGAAAACACAATTCAATCCACTAATAGCCAGCGATCTGATGTTTTTGTACGACAGATATACAGCGATTCACTGTACGAAAAAGTCTCAAAAGTGTCCCCAAAACGTCTCACTCCATCGCCCCCATGTCGCCCCCTTTTCGATCCTTCGCCCCCGCGTCACCCCTTTTCATTCCATTGCCCCCCTGAAAAATGCAATCGCAGGACTTGTTTTATCTCTCTCTTAAAAGAGTCCTTATAAAGAATAGCAAAGTGGGAAGGGACCTTGGAGGTCTTCTAGTCCAACCCCCTGCCTAAGCAGGGGATCTTATCCCATTTCGGACAAATGTCTGTCCAATCTTTTCTTGGAAACCTCCAGTGATGGAGCACCCACAACTTCTGGAGGCCAAGCCGTTCCAATTCTAGTTTTTCATTTGCTCTTTTGCTGACATTTCCATGTTTTTCACTCCCAGGTCATGGTCGATGGGATGGTGCCAACTGTCAAACGAGGCTACCTTTTATCTGCGGCTACAAACCAGATTTGACGCCTCCATAATTTGCACCAGAAAAAAAAAAAAGCCTTATTCCGTAGGAACTACTCAAATGGGTCAACCCTGAAATAGAGATAATTGACCAGGAATTTCTTCCTTTTGAGAACGTGCACCTATAAATACACTCCTGCAAGTTCAAATGCAAAAGAATCATCAATCGTCTTGACTTAGATTGACACCAATCATTATTTAAAGCACCATAATAGAACGCATTGTTTAAGAAAATCCGGCTTGATTTGAGTGCTTAATGAGATCTATGGGCTACTTATACCTTCCACAATTGCAGCGAGAAAGCTTTAATTTAAAACTAATTACAAATCATTCATTAAACATCACTTACTTCAGCATGTAATGGCCTAGTCATGCTTTTAAGATGGGGGGAAAGACGCTGCCTTACAAATGTCAGATAAATCCACCCAGAGGTAATTGAACAGTGTTGTTTGGAGGGCTGTAAAAGAAAAGGAAAAGAAATTGAAAGGAAGGAAGGAAGGAAGGAAGGAAGGAAGGAAGGAAGGAAGGAAGGAAGGAAGGAGAGGAAAGGAAAATGATGGAAGAAAAAAGAAAGAAAGAGAGAGAGAGAGAGAGAGAAGGGAGGGAGGGAGGGAGGGAGGGAAGGAAGGAGATGGAAGGAGAGAGAGAGAAAGAAAGAAAGAAAGAAAGAAAGAAAGAAAGAAAGAAAGAAAGAGGGAGGGAGAAAGAAAGAAAGAAAGAAAGAAAGAAAGAAAGAAAGAAAGAAAGAAAGAAAGAAAGAAAGAAAGAAGAGGAAAAAAGGAAGGAAGGAAGGATATGAAAGGAAAATGATGGAAGAAAAGAGAAAGAAAGAAAGAAAGAAAGAAAGAAAGAAAGAAAGAAAGAAAGAAAGAAAGAAATGGGAGGGAAGAGGAAGGAAGGAAAGAAGGAAGGAAGGGAGGAAGGAAGGAGATGAAAGGAAAACAATGGAAGAAAAGAAAGAGAGAGAGAGAAAGAAAGAAAGAAAGAAAGAAAGAAAGAAAGAAAGAAAGAAAGGGGAGGGAAGAGGAAGGAAGGAAGGAAGGAAGGAAGGAAAAAAGACATTGTTGCAATTTAATCCTGGGCTCAGAGTAAAGATCACACACAACCCCAAAAAGAAATAAAATCAAAATGAAAACTTTAAGGTCTACCACTGGGTATCTACAAAAGACACAAAAGTCTGTCAAATGAAGGCAAACATGTTATTAAGCTATACAGGGTATGCATTATACATCACAATGCACTGCCTAAGCAGACAACTTTTCTTTTCGTTTGTGAATTATAACTTACGTAGCGCAAATTTCACATAGTCGCTCTGCGAAGGAGACGGGTGGTCTCTAAATCTGACAGATAAACTAATAAATTTTACCTCTTTGCCGTAATAGATGCAACCCACCAGAAATTCCTCAAGGCCAAGGCCAAGAGGAAGAAGTCAGAACAATGAAAGGGGAGATCTAAATCTAATCGTTTTGTGCAGGCAAAATGTAAGGCTACACCTTTAGCCAATGAAATGAATGTCAAGATCACGATGACAAATGATGTTATTAAGGAACATCGTCATTGTTGCCATGAAAAATGGCCAGGCTTTGGGCACTCAATAATAACATATATCTGTAATCTCGTAGACCAAAGAGGCGTTGGTTTTATTTGCTTATATAAAACGTTTACTTGGCTGCCCAGCTCAGACAATGTAGCCCTAGGAATTGGAAGGAAGGAAGGAAGGAAGGAAGGAAGGAAGGAAGGAAGGAAGGAAGGAAGGAAGGAAGGAAGGAAGGAAGGAAGGAAGTTAGTTAGTTGATGGGAAAGGGAGGGTGGATAGCAGGAAGGAAAGAAGAAGAGAGGGAGGGAGGAGAGACAAGAAAGGAAGGAAGGAAGGGAAAGAAAGAGAAAGAAAGAAAGAAAGAAAGAAAGAAAGAAAGAAAGAAAGAAAGAAAGAAAGAAAGAAAGAAAGAAAGAAAGAAAGAGTGGAAGGAAGGAGGGAGAGAGGGAGGGAGGAGAGAGAAGAAAGGAAGGAAGGAAGAAATAAAGAAAGAGAAAGAAAGAAAGAGTAAAAAAGAAAGAAAGAAAGAAAAACAGTGGAAAGGAAAGAAGGAAAATAGTGGAAAGAAGGAAAGAAGGAAGGGAGGGAGGAAGGAAAAGAAAAGGAGGAATGCAGGAAAAGAGGAAAACAGTGAAGAAGGAAGGAAGAAAGGAAGGGAAGAGGGAAGGAAAAGAAAGAAAGAAAGAAAGAAAGAAAGAAAGAAAAAGAAAGAGAGAAAAAAGAAAGAAAGAAAGAAAGAAAGAAAGAAAGAAAGAAAGAAAGAAAGAAAGAAAGAAAGAAAGAAAGAAAGAAAGAAAGAAAGCTAATCCTTACAGTCTAATAAGCAACAAAATGGAAATCAGGGCTAAAGAAGTAACTCTTCAAAAAGAGAATCTGAGATATGCCAAGGGATAAGAGTTTCCCACTTTAACTAGTTGTATAGATACTTCTTTATTTACCACCACAGTTGAGCCCAAAATTTCCGTTGCTAAGTGTAAGACATTTGTTAAGTGAGTTTTGCCCCATTTTACGGTTTTTCTTGCCGTGGCTGTTCACTGAATCCCTGCAGTTGTTCAGTTAGTAACAAGATCAAAGAATGGATCTTTTCACTCAACGTACTTGTTACTGTTGTTAGTTGCGAAGTCGTGTCTGACCCATCGCGACCCCATGGACAACATTCCTCCAGGCCTTCCTGTCCTCTACCATCTTCTGGAGTCCATTGAAGCTCACGCCTACTGCTTCAGGGACTCCCTCCAGCCACCTCCTTCTCTGTCGTCCCCTTCTTCTCTTGCCCTCCATCTTTCCCAGCATCAGGCTCTTCTCCAGTGAGTCCTTCCTTCTCATTAGGTGGCCAAAGGACTTGAGTTTCAACTTCAGGATCTGGCCTTCTCAAGAGCAATCAGGGTTGATCTCCTCCAGGACTGACCGGTTTGACTGGTCTCAATGATCATTGAAGCGTTAGCCCCATGTTTAAAGACATTATGCTGAATCGGTGTCTAGAGTGGGCATAAAGAAAATTTCCACAGCCCCTGAGACACGGAGAGCTTGAACCGATCACCAAACGGCAAAAGGCTTTCATTTCTTTGGACCACTTAGCAAAATAAAAAATACAAATAAAAAATTGGCTATCGAAGCCCCAAGATCATGCCAAGCTTCAACTCAGCCACAGAGAGAGGTTGAGGAACTGCTGAGGCTTTGCAACTGGGGTTTTGTGTGTGTGTGTGTGTGTGTTGTTTCATGAGAATTGAAATGTCAAGCCACGTAACCGTTTTTTAAGTTTAAATCATTTTCATAGATCAGTGGTTCTCAACCTGTGGGTCGGGACCCCATTTGGGGTCGAACGACCATTTCATGGGGGTCGCCAAACAACGCAGTCCGCCATTTTTTTCCCCCTTTTCCTTAGCTGTGCTACTCCCTTTTATTCTGTTGGCTTTTAAAAGCCAATAGAATAGACTCTCTTGAATAGAGTCTAATTCTATTGGCTTTCCAAAGCCAATAGGAATTGTCCAGGCTGTCTCTGCCCTGCTGAGCCCGCCAAAAGTCCCATTCTGCAAACGGTGCTGCACCAGTTGAGTAGTCCTCGACTTACGACCGGTTGAGTAGTCCTCGACTTACGACCGGTTGGGGGGGGTCGCGGCATTAAAAAGGTTGAGAACCACTGTCATAGATGATAGACTGAAGGCAAGGAGAGAGGAGAACTGTCTCTCGGATCTCCTGTTTAAGCACGCTTCACGCCTTTCTGATAAGGATAATTTCTAATTATTTCTTGGCAATTCAGATTCTGTTGCCTCAGCAACAGCTTTTTCGGATAGCAGATGCTGGGGACATGTGCTAATTTATTCCGATTTTCTCAGATTTTGTTTCCCGCCAAGCTGAAAGCTGACGTTTCTTCTCTGGTTGAAGGAAGTGTCACTAATTCCTGATTTTTTCAGTGCTTTTAAACGTTCTCTTGCACTAAGCCGTCCATTGATGCATTTCAAGCACCTGCTAGCCAATCTGGACGCCTCGCAAAAACGGAGCAGGATTAGAGTCGAGTTGCACTCGAAGGAGACTTGATCTAATGTTATTATTTATTTTGAGTTCTAGCTTGTTCTGACAAGTTCAAAATTGGCCAAAAACTAGGCAGCCCTGGAAAATGTCAAGGGATGGGTAGCAACTATTTTTTTTCCAGAAGGAAGAAGGAAGAAATAGGAAAGAAGGGGAAGAAAGAAAGAAAGAAAGAAAGGAAGGAAGGAAGGAAGGAAGGAAGGAAGGAAGGAAGGAAGAATGAAAGAAAGAAAGAAAGAAAGAAAGAAAGAAAGAGGAAGGAAGGAAGGAAGGAAGGAAGGAAGGAAGGAAGGAAGGAAGGAAGGAAGGAAGGAAGGAAGGAAGGAAGGAAGTCTCTTCTTAAAAACCTCACAACTTCTGGAGGCAAGTAGTTCCACTGGTTAATTGTCCTCACTGTCAGGAAATTTCAACTTAATTCCAGGTTGCTTCTCTCTTTGATTGGTTTCCATCCATTGTTTCTTGTCTTGCTTTCTGGTGCTTTGGAAAATAAGTTGACCCCCTCCTCATCTTTGTGGCAACCCCTCAAATACTAGAATACTGCTATCATGCCCCCCTTGATCCTTCTTTTCTCTAGACCAGTGGTTCTCAACCTGTGGGTCGGGACCCCATTTGGGGTCGAACGACCATTTCACAGGGGTCGCCAAACAAGACTGTCTGCCATTTTTCCCCCTTTTCTTTGGCCACGGCCCTGGCACCCAGTGATGTATAAGTGGTTGGGGGTCACCACAATATGGGGAACTGTATTATGGGGTCGCGGCATTAGAAAGATTGAGAACCACTGCTCTAGAGTCTAGACTGACCGTATTCAATTCCTGCAATCGTTCTTCATATATTTTACTCTCCAGGCCTTTAATCATTTTATTTGCTCTTCTTTGCATATTTTTTTTTTTGCCAAAGCCTCAACATCTTTTTTGTAATGTGGGGATCAAAACTGGATGCAGCCCCTCAAATACTGGAATGTTGTTATCATGTCAACCCTAGTCCTTCTTTTCTCTAGACTAGCCATATCCAGTTCTCGTTGCTTTACACATGAAAGTGAAGACTGTTCTCCCATGTTCAGAATTGCAAGTAACAACAACAACAACAACAACAATAATAATAATAATAAAGTTGGAAGGGATCTTGGAGGTCATCTAGTCCAACCCCCTGCTCAGGCAGGAAACCCTACACCATTTCGGACAAATGGCTGTCCAGTCTCTTTTTAAAAACTTCCAGTGTTGGAGCATTCACAGTTTCTGGAGGCAGGTTGTTCCACTGGTGAATTGTTCTAACTGTCAGGAAGTTTCTCTCTTTGATGAGTTTCCATCCGTTGCTTCTTGTCCTGCCTTCAGGACAACATCTTTCCTAAATTAGAGCTTAGATGTCACTACATCAACCCTTCAATCCCTCCCAACAGATCTACATTTAAAAACTAAATCTAAAAGTTCACGGCCCAGATGTGAGAAGAAATATCCACAGGAAGACGCTTCCAATTAAACCCCAAAACTAAATTAACTCCCAGGATCAAATGAACTGATTCAGGGAAGGGAAAAAAAGTAATTAAACCTTTTTTTATTATTTTGGTAAGACATAAAAATTATTTAGTTACAAATACATAATAGATGTACCAGCGGGAACTCAATTCCCACTTCAGCCGAGAGAGAGACACACATCAATATAGGAAACTGAGTTAGTTGGCAATATTCTAACGGAGGCTGAGAGCCGAGGGTGCAGGGCTAATGAACCCTTTGGGGAAAATTGGAAATCACTTGTCTGAGGTTGTAATTGTTTAAAGAGCCTGGCTGCCATAAACACACGGGTTGTTTCATTGGTTTTAATTATTATTTTTATTAATTGCATCCCAGCCTGGTGTAGAGCAGGTTATAAATACTACGTAGCATGTAGACAGGCTTCCAGGCTACACACATCAGGGAACTGATCGCAGCGTTCTTCCTACGTGTTACCAATTTTATTTCTGAAAGTATGAAGATAATCTTTTCATAGTATATATTGACTTGCTCGCGAGAGCAAGAAAGGATATGCCACGCCTAGCTCGTATCTTGTTAAATGTCTACGGAGAGTCTCAGTCATCCAGGTCATGGTTGTCCCAAAGATGGCCATAGTTTGTTTCTTCTTCTTCTTCTTCTTCTTCTTCTTCTTCTTCTTCTTCTTCTTCTTCTTCTTCTTCTTCTTCTTCTTCTTCTTCTTCTTCTTCTTCTTCTTCTTCTTCTTCTTCTTCTTCTTCTTCTTCTTCTTCTTCTTCTTCTTCTTCTTCTTCTTCTTCTTCTTCTTCTTCTTCTTCTTCTTCTTCTTCTTCTTCTTCTTCTTCTTCTTCTTCTTCTTCTTCTTCTTCTTCTTCTTCTTCTTCTTCTTCTTCTTCTT